GTATTAGATGCATAATGTTATATTATATTCAGGACTATGCAGGGCTGTTGTTTCCATACCGAAAAGAAACACTGTAAAATTATGGAGGAAAAAGAAAAAAGACAAAATATGAGAGCAAAGTTGGAATGTTACAAGAGTGATGATACAAATTCACAAACAAGAACAAAATAATTTGGGACCACGAGAGCAACAGATCTCGATAACACATTACACTACTGGTTGAAAACACTTGTGCTTATATTACAGGCCTGAGGATTTCACGGAAACAATCGTTACCGGTAGCGTGTTGTTTCCGTGGCGTCATTTTGACGGTACCGAAAAATCATTTCCCGTAAAAGTCACCGCACACAAGTTGACTCTACGCGATCGAATCTCTCCTGTGTGATCAACGCGATTTCACTGTGCCTGCATGTGTGTTTGTGGTGTGGTGTGTGTGTATGTTTCTTCTAATTTACTTTCGTTTTGTTTTCAGTGTTTGGGGGGGGGGGGGGTCTACACAAAGGTCTACAAATTACGACATTTAAGAAATGGGAGTGCCAGTCTGATTTTTCGTATGAATCGTCCGAAGGGCGTATCACTAAACTCACCTGTGACGTATACACAGAACACGAGAGCGACATACGACGACGGGAGGCACGATTCCGAGGCAAATTGGTCATTAGATCTCTCGGCTAATCTCTATGAAAAATATTATGAAACAGTCTTGGTTATTCTATAATTTACTGGTTGTAGCATGGTAACTTTATGAATAAAACATTCATCACAAGGTGTAGTAATGCTAATGCTAACATGCTAACAATGACGTGTGGTAGATTCTTTCATCAAATTGATAGTAGATTACGCATGCATCGTCTTGGGAAGAGGATGTCAAGCCACATCAATACTTGCCTGTATTAATGATTAGCAGTAAATTAATCTTTGCAGTGTGACAGTGGAAAAAATACTCTGATTTTGTGGTATGCTGTATTCATGATGCCATATGAGTACATAATATTTTGATCCATTTATTTTGAATAATCCTGGAGCACACTGCTGCTGATGTAATGTTCATTGTGAATGCATAGTTTTCAAACATTTACCCTTGAAACATTCTACTTTTGAGTTTCAGAATTCTTGATTATGAATATCAGTCAAAATAGAAAAAATGGGTACCCATGATGAACGCTTACGGAACCCAAAATTAGTTACCGTGGTTTCCCATTGGGTAATCCGACGGAACCGAAAAACGGTTACCGTGAATTTCCGAAATCCTCAGGCCTGTATTATCAAACAATCCCAACCAAAAATGTGATTCAAGTACAAGAGTTATATTCTAAGTGAGCCAAAAGTTAGTGGAGTCATATTCAACTACTCCTACTGATGTGCCAAATAAACGTAACTAAATATCTTCTGTCATCAGACTGAAGTTGGGTTGCAACTAATGATTGTTATAGTCGATCAACCCATTGATTTTGTTGATTAATGGATTACTCAAATAAAAATAAGTTTTAATTTCCACCCCTTTAATCAAAAACAGGACATGATTTCAAAATGACTGTCTAGAAAATGCACACACAGAAAAGAGTTATGATCCAGTAACTGGTTTGGTCCGTAACATGTCCGAAAATGGGGCCAAATTCTTGATCATTGTTTTCCAAAGTAAAAGCAAAATGCTTTATTTTGATTCAACACAAAGATGATTTGTGTGCTTTGATGGAGGACGACAGAAATCGGACAATTATTTTCTGTTGAGAAGCTGAAACTTCCGACGATTTGGACAATGTTACCTTAAAAAAACCCCATCCAAATGACTAATCGATTATAAAAAGCATTATCAAGTAATTTGACAATCGAATAGTTGACGATTAGTCTTGCACCTCTATAATGTACTTAAGTGAAATTTTACACAAGCCAAAACAGAGAATTTTAACAATTTTTCAAGTATAAGACATTCAGTCTTGTAATATTGCAACTTCACTGTAGTAAAAAAATAAATTAAAATGAATAAAGCAAGAGATCACGACTAAACATAAACATATTGTTGGTATCCTAATTTTGGTTCACAAGACCCTGACTCACTAAACATGGTAGCATGAGGACAACTGCATGGGCTTACAAAACGGTTCAATATATCCACAATGTACCAAACAAAAAAATAAAGCCTGCATTACCTGAGTGACCACGCTAAGCTAAAGTATGGCGGCGACACCCCTAGATTCAGAATTTGTGAACATGTTTCACGTATAAAAAGAATAACCTGAGACCAGTTGCAGAACAACGGCATTAAGTTAACCACATTCCAAGCAGGTCTCCATGTAGTCAGTAGCCCATCAATCAATCGCTCGCACAGCTCCAAATCCCGTGAGTGAGTCATGGCACATTCATTCAACGTTACTAAGCAACCTATAACTGCCGCACAGGCGGGCGTCTAAAAACAGCCCCTGCGGGACCACTAATGGTATGACGGTCTAACGGGAGTGCACAAGATCAGAAAAGGGAGGAAGAGGGGGTCATTTTCGTCAATCGAGCTGAACTGCTCGGCCATGAGAACTGCAGAGGAGCAGCCCATCAAGTCAACAGTTGTCCTCCCACTCACCACACGTTAGACTAACTTGCTTCGAAACCTCAATCCCCTTCGTGGGAGCGATAAAGAACAATTTCACAAAGCCACTGTGTGCGTTTACAAGAAAGACGGTTGGGATCTGAGGCGCGATGGGGCAGGGAGGTAACTCCTGACAGCTCACGCTCTACTGATCCGCCATTTTGTTGTAGCCCTTTCGCTAACGCTAGCCACTGGACGCCACTTATTTAATGTTACCCTTTCAAGTTTGACAGTTGCGAGCAATACCTTCCAACGGCAGTAGGCGCGAGCATTTTGTTCCAATCACATCAGCGTACCTCTCTCCATGTAGCCTAGCAACATGTAATAGTAGCAAAAACGACAAACAAAGCTCCACTCTATTAGCATTAGTTATCTTGCGGCGGGGCGGGGGGTGCGCCAGCGGTGAGCATGTCCCACTCAAAGTGTGCTTACCGTCATATCGCTCGGCCTGCTCAGCGAGTTTTGCCCGGTAAACGCATTCATCTCGCTCAGCCATTGCGAATAGAACCGCTCGTGGGGATCCGTCTAAAATGACAAATGGGTTTGTCGGGATGGGGGAGCACGATAATATGCCTGCTTGGCTGGTCTGTCAGCGGTTCCTAGAAACCAACTGGGTCGATTCGAACGGTGTTCCGCCCAACCGGCAGCAGAGAGGATGGGGTAAAAATGGCGGCCAGTCTCATCCGGGTAATCGCACGCGCACCCGATTCGTCTGCTCTGTTACGTTGATATACGCACCCTTTGACTTTAAACGGAGATAGTGTGTAATTATGCTGCGTGTCTTCCCCCAAATATATTTTTAGAAATATGCTAACCGGGAAACCACGCGAGTTTATCTCACACGCTGACAATGTCCAAGGGGATTTCATGTAACTGCAGAGCCCCCCCGCCCCTGATCTTTTCTTTAGTGGCGATACTACTCTTGGAGACACCCATGAATCTTTGGCTATTTTCTGGCGGGACTTCCTTTTCGTTTTAAGTTTGTTTGTTGACCTTTGTTTAACCAGGTTACAAAACTCCTTGAGAGTTACCCTTTCTGTTGCAAGAGTGATCTGTAATTTCCCCTACATCGAATACTTTTAATGTATCTATCTTACCTCATGAATTGCCCAAGTTATCCAATATATTATTTTACAGTAGAATAACATCTGAGGTGGATAGTAACCGGATGTTAATGAAAAGTTAAACGATTTTATTGTGAATGGTACAATGCAGACCCCGTGTGGGAGGGCTCCAGGATTTTTTTTCTTTCCAGGGGCTTTGGTGGGGCGTTCTCGGATCATAAATATGGGGGCTGAGAAAACAATTTGTAAATATATTTTAGAATCTCAGTTGCAATGCTAGAGAGGCTTAAGTGGGGCTACACAGATTTCTGAGATTTAGGCCCTCACAGCCCAGTGTCGCACCATCCCTGTCCACTGTGCACGAACACGTGCAACTTCTGTTCTAACAGCAGCTCTCTCTCTCCCCAGACAAAAGATGATAGCGCCTGCAGCGAGAACCAAAGTTGCCTGGCGCCGGCTTTGTTATACTGTACTTTAACTTCCATTCTGGTGTACAGCGGGTCCTTGGTTACGATGGTCCAGACATATGACATTTTAAATTTACGAGCAGCACCCAAAGAACTACCGGTAGTTTGCACAGCAGTGTAAGAATACGTTAACAAACATTCGACACAAGAAGGTTCACTCTCTTACCGTCGTAATGATGTTTTTCATTTGTTTTATATTTCCAGTACAGAAGTGTTTTTCATATAAATTTGAATAGAACATTCCTTTCCTGCTGCGTTGGCATAGGTCATAAACTACTTTTTGTTTTAACTACGTAAACATTATTCTTTGCTGCTGTAGGAACAGAACTCCAACGAGGACCTCCGTAAAGACCGTGGCTCTCAAGCTTCTTAGTTAAAGTACCGCCATCGTGATCAACATGACAATACAGTTACAAAGAAGGCCTGAGTGTTAAAAACGAGGACGTGGTTCAAATCATATTAAGTACAGTATTTCTCTAACACAGCGTAACCTTATGCACACAAATGTACTGTAATGGAAAAAGACAACATTTAATCGACTGGAACAATATGCAATTTGAACAATTAATTCAGTGAGTCTTCCACATACCACTAGAAGAGCCCACGGACCACCAGTGTACTAGTAGCACATTGAGAATCATTGGTCTAGCAAAAACGAGGGGGATTTGTCTGTCATGAATTTTACTTTATTTACCATTTTAATTAACACATCACATGCTACAGAAAAAAAAGTTAATTACAATTGTCTTAAAGGAATATAGTGTTATAACCGAATTACACAACTGCTATCGCCAATTCCCACTGCCATTTTGACACCCCTCACTTTGCATGAAAGGAAAACTGGCTTTTTGTATGATTACCGGTATCTAAAATACTTGATTTTTTTGGATTCATTTCAGTAACTAAGCAACTGCTGCCTGCAGTACCCAGACCACATGTTGAAAATCAGCCTGTAAAATCAGTTTTGATGTTTTTAAAAAATGTGTTTTGAATGTCACAATTGGACATCACATACAACATTAGAAATGAGGTCAGGGAATGGTCACATTTTTTTTCTTTTGAGAATGAGGAAGTGTATCATTGCAAACTTAGCGTGAAGGCAATCAAGTGTTGTCGGTTCAGTCATCTCCTTTAATGTCTAAAGAACAAGTACATGATAGTAACCTGTGTGAATATTGTTCTGTGTGCACCCAGAAAGTGACTTGGGGTGTGTGAGACAGAATGTGGACCGTGATATGTGAAGCTTCCACATATTGCATCTGCCATGGCAGTCATCTTCAATCCAACCCTCGCCAATATAATGTGGGTGAGCAAGGTAATTATTGTCAGACTGGGTGGAGGGGGGGGGGGGGATTGAGAAAGGGACTTTAAATGAAATGGTCCTTGAGTGAAATGTTAATGTCAAATGTTGGTGGCTAGACATGAAAAGGTTATGTCACTAAAGAAAAAAATGTAAGGAAAAAGCATTAGATAAGTAGTCACAGAGGAAAAAAAACAGGCTGATATATCTAAAGAATACAATAAGAAAATTGGTGCATGATGGCAAAAAAATTAGAATTAAAAAAAAAAGGGACACAGAGCATTTCCTTTCTCCGATTTGACATAATTCTGATATTCAATTTTGCTAATGTCTGGTATGAACTAACAAGGTGGACAACAAAAATCTGTCATGCAGACTACTGAGACAAATGAATGAGAGTTTAGCATGTAATGAAAATCCCACAATCCATCATATATTTCGTTTTTTCTCGCATAAAACAACTTGGAGAATGGTGATGGGTGGATGGGAATGACAGTTAGGAGGAGTTGTGTTTTCATCTCTCTTCCAACAAGGGTCATGACTGGAGTCACTTTACAGTACACCGATCCTGGATTCTGGTTGTCAACACAGGTTTTTGGCAATTATTGGCATGATAGGATAGATGGTAGTGGTAGTGGCACATGCTTCCAAGAGTTTACCGTGTCATTTTCCGGTTGACAATACAGAACAGTTGTTGCTCATCTCATCTTTGTCATCTTAATCAGTTCATCGATCATCTAGAGTCTGGTAGATTGTGTGGTGTGGACTTGAAGGGAGGTGGAAAATGGATCATGGGTGAAGCTGATTCAGTCTCAACTAAAATGTGGTCTTAAGAACATGACAAACATTAACCAATTGATTTTCATGTGGCTGAGCACGCCACGAGGGTTAAAAAGATACACAGAAACTGTAAGCAGGACTCATTTGGGAAAAGGGGATCAATGTATTGTGACACGGTAGCATGAAGTAATCAAATTAGAAAATTGTCAAAATTTGATCACTGCTTTTTCCAAATGACTTCCTCATTGGGGTCACGGACGTACTAACCAAGCTGACTTTGGGCGAGAGGTGGGGTACATACTAGACTGGTTGCCTGTCCATTGCAGTGCTAAAATTCAAGTTGACTGGGTAACTTGAGTTCCATATTTTCGATTTTGCTCAGATTTTCACTGAGCAGCAACCAAACTTAAAAATTCCTTCACATTGTTAATTTGGCTTACATTTTGTCAGACTCAAGTCTGATAATGACGGATTGAATCGTTAGATAATTCGGCCAGTTTACCTGAGCCTATGTCGACAACAGGCAGCTAAAGTTAGCTCAGTAAGACACGGCCAGAGTATTCGACAGAAAGATTCACAAGGTTCTTGTGATGATTAATGGCTAACCTGCCAATAAGAAAACCGAGCTGTGCTATGTTCATGCTGCTCCCTTAATACTGTAGATTTAATAGTCGTTAGAAAATCAGTCAGTGCAAGCGCAGACCTCTGCCAGGGCTGAACAATGCACATTTTTTATCACATAACTGTTTACCTTCATGAACACTCAACCAAGTCGCAAAGTTGTGTGGTGAGTGATGTCCTGAGGAGTGAGAGGTGATAATTATGTGTGGCTATGGTGGGGTTAAAATGTTACAAAATCCTTGGACAAGCCTTCCCAGACAGTCTTTCATTTTTGCACCGACTCAGTCTCAGCAGGAAGTAGTGGTGAGGGTCTGTCGGGAATATGCAGTGGGGTCGGGTGGTTGTTTTTCAGAGTGATCGTGAGAAACTTTACTTAGTGCAGGTAGGGTAGGCGTGAGGTGGTGACCAGGAGCCGCAAGGAGGCAACGGGGTCTAACACTAATGTCCAGTTTGCACCCGCCAGTCCACTCTCAGCTGAGTTCATCCTCGGCGTTGTGCTGGTCCAGCAGTTTGACGTGTGTGAAGGGAAAGTGGCCACGTTTGCCTTTACATTCACCCTCCCACTGGCCGTTCACGTTTATTTTAGTCACTTTCACCATGTCGCCCACCTGGAGAAGGAGACAAATTGTGAGCATCAACAAGACAAGGAAAGACGAACTGAACTAGAAGTAACAAGTGTGAACTGGGTGAAATAAAACAGGGGTGGAGAAGAGCTGTGATAGCCCTCAGAGGGCCTTTCTCAGGAAAAAGTATTTGAATTATTACAGGGGTTCATCCGTTTCCAACATTCCTGACATATGATGTTTGAAGGCCACGAACAGCGCACAATAAACGCAGTGGCGTCAGAATAGGATACAATTAGCGTTTTTCCAAATTGATTTTGTATTTATGGTCGAGAAGTGCTTGTCATACAAATATCTACAGTAAATAAATGACTACTACTGCATTAGCGTAGGTTAGTAATAAGCCATGGTACATTCCTCCACAGACATTTGGGCTACGTCGCCACTCCAACCGCCATAAACTGGGAACTGCCTGGATACCAATATGAAGTTTTGTGGGTTCAGCTCCTGTGAGATTTTATTCGTTTGATAATCCCATGAGGGGCCAAATCAAATGGTTATCAGGGCCACATGTAGCCCCAGGGCCGTTGGCCACCCCTGCCCTAAAACAGCAATTCAAAGCATACTCAAAGCCAAACTTCACCCTACAAAACAGTACATTTCTTCAAGTTTCTGCTGTTACTGTGTAATCTGACATGAAATGTGTTTGACTGATAAACCAGTTGACCCCGAGCCTTTAAAGTTTTAATCATACACGTCAGCTTTGTGCTAAGTGAGCACATTGTTACTGAATCAAGACTGCACAAAATTGTATAAAACATGCACCCATCCGTCATCTGACATTTTATCTGCGTCGAGCACAAACTGAGGAGCATGACTACATTTATAAAAAAATGTATAAAACATCAAAACATATAAACACAGTTTAAACTCCAATCCCTGACTGATCAAGGTCTTTATTTCGATGTAGTAAATGTTTGTAATTTCAATAATTTGTCCGGTACTGCAGCCCACACTCAAAGTGAGAGTGAAATTAAAGTTAGGTGTTTCCTGTGCTTGCTTGCCCCAGGAGGATATCCTGCAGCGCACACTGCTTCTGCTACCAGGGTGTGACCGTCTTACCCAATGAACCTCACTGTCCTGGACTGTCTTATTCAAATCACCTTTCATAAAATATTTTGTGAACACAGCTTTTGAATGCTGCGTCACTGTGGCAGAGTGCAAACAATTCCTGCAGTGTCTCTCTCTTTCCACACTTATTGTGTTGAAGGCGCAGGTAGATCAATGCCTCAACTACTAGTAGGACACAAAATACATCAAGCGCAGATGAAATTGCTGTAAACCACCACAACACAATAGATACGTTATTCGGTTCAACAGAGCATTATTAGAAACTGCACAGTATTCACACAAATTGCATAAAAATAGTTGCTAGGAGACCTAACGTCTGAAGCCAAAGGTATCCAAGACACCAAGACAAGGAAATGTGAGCTAATAATTAACAATCCCGTCCAGTGCCTCCCATGCTGAGTCACTTCTCTGACCTAGTGCGGAAAAGCACAACAAGTAAACTTGCCCAGGGTGAAGCCAGAAGAATTGAACAAAAGAGGGAGCGGTACCACTAGCTTGTACAACAGGACCAGTTTTGTGCAACCTCCTTGGAAAATGCAGTGAGCTCGGCTACAAGTTATTCTACTGTAAATGAGGCTCCGGTAAACTGCAGCAAATGACTAGAGCAGTGGTTCTTAACCTTGTTAGAGGTACGGAGTTCATATGCATTCACCGAACCCTTCATTAGTGAAAAATAAAAATATAATTCAAGAAGTGTTCCTTCAGTTTTGAGTTGCTCAACTTGGCATGAGAAATCATGCAGATAGGACACTGACTCCCATCGCTTTCCGCGGTGATGCATGTGAATCCATGTTGTCAATATTCGTCCAACCGCTTTTTTCTTTTGCTCGACATAGTTCGCATGTATAAAAAAAAAAATTCAACAAGAAAAAAATCACACGACGTACTATCACGACAGTCACTCGTTGATGACCGAGTGAACTAAATTTCCCGCAGCACTGATTGGACAAGCGATGTAATGTGATTAGCTGCTGTGGTCGTGTTTTAACTAATTTACGTTGAATCGGGTGTGTCTTAACCTCCAAGGCAAAGGCTCCGTTGAACCCCTGGGGTTCGATCGAACCCAGGTTGAGAACCACTGGACTAGAGAAATGAACAAAAACTGTGCCGCAATATGACTAGCCAAAGATCATCACAGCTACCTCATCTGCCCGCAATAAAATGACTAGCCAAAGATCATCACAGCTACCTCATCTGAGTGGAGCTTCTTTAAAAGAAAAAAAAAAGCATTGTACTATTGTGGTATAAATGAACACACAATTCTTCATGCTTCTTATAACAATGTCATGTCAAAATGGGATGGCACTGGGCTATTGACAATACTGAACAGTGGGTAACTAAACAAATAGTAGTTGCCTATGTGGTCATTATTCTCTATTAACTGCTTCAAACAACAGAGTATGCAGATAAGTAGTTAAGATTGAATGACTGTCTGTGTTTTATGTGTTGTGTTGTATTGTTTTGTTATTATGACTTCAATATGGCGCCGCGAGAGTGGCTGCGTTCACAACAACTCCTATACTTTTTGTTCTTCTACTTTCTTCCTTTCGTAACGTTGCTGCTGTAAATTGGGAATTTCTCCATTGTGAGACAAATAAAGGTTTTCTTATTCTTATATGTTGCTGTTTTCGTATCAAACATACTGCTTTTGATGTTTGATGCCTGAGCTGTGATGACTATCTTGGCTGTGTTTCAGACAATTGGCTGAAATAAGATTCTATATCGTTCAGGTTGGGCAACAGCAGTAAGACAGGTCCGTGACATAAAACGGAAGAGATGCATTTTACGTATAAAACTGCCTGGGGAAAGGGAGCTTCTTTGATGTAGGAAAACAGCAACGTTACCACGCTATGGAGAAATGATGAAGTTGCTCCTTGTAATGCCACCACAGCCCAATGCAAACTAGAACCTCTGTCAAAATAAGTAAATAATAAAGACATAAACGGTATCAAGCACACATACTTTCGAAACATTCAATCAAGAAATATAATGGCTGGGTGCTGGTGTCTGTCTTTGTGTCCTGCTCCAACTTCGCAGAGCCCAGAGTATGACATGCATGACATTGCAGCTCAGTGAGAAGCTAATTTAACTCCATCAGTGCACTGCATTTTCTTTGCAGTGGTTAAAAAAAAAAAGTTATAACAAAAATTGAAGGCCATAAATATAAAACTATCAAATGAAAAACACTGTGTCCGGTGCTAATTGGGTGTCATCTTGTGTGGTGTGATGTATTATTATGCCTGTGCACAAATTAGTCCATACTAACGCTCGTGACCTGTATGTCAAAATTGCCCTAAACCAGTGGTTCTCAATTATTTTCTGTCATGCACCCCCAAGGAAGAGGAAAACATCTTGCCCCCCCCCACCGCACAACTATAAATAGTATCATTTGTCTATAAAATTGTTATAAGTACACTTTTGCGTAACACTGTATCCTTATTAACGTATAAGAGAATAAAAAAGAAAGAAATATGGACCAAGTTTAATGGACCAACTTACAACAAAGAATAGCTTTAGTAGCTGGAACAGAAAAGATTTAAAGTGCATCTGAAATTCAAAAATAAAATTAAATCCTTAATTTAACAATAAATATTTTTTGACTGACCATGTCAAACCATACGATACTGAAAAATGAAATTACATAAAATCAATAACTAATAATGCATTCAAACTAATCAACATTATCTCAGGAGCACAATATAAAAAAAAAAAAATTTAACCAGCAAAACAAAAATATATCAAAGAATTTGTGCTTTTTTTTTTTTTAATCAAATATGATGTCTGGATTAATGGTTACAATGAGCACGTTTTGCAATGCACAGCTTTTCTAAGCGAGGTTTGAAGCAGGACACAGCAACTCTAGGCTCCTGCTCAACGAGTTGACCTGTATTTTAGTTTCCTGAAGTAGCAGTCACAAAGCAGCATGATTGTTGGCAATATTCGGCACATGTTCGCTGAAAAAAACTCAAGCAGCTTATCAGCGTGATTGGGGTGTAATGTCTTTAAGTGACACCTTAATTTATTTGGCTTCATGCTGTCCGCTACCAAATTTTTTAGACACAGTAAGCACATCGATCTTTACTCGTCTGCCACCGCAGTCACATTGAAGCCAAGCGCTACATACACCTCGTCATATTTCCTCCCTTAGAATGCTCCCTGCGTAAACTCTGCCAATGAGAACGCCACTGCCCCCTAACGTAGTGGAGGTGCAACTGCATGTTATTTTAGGACAGTAAAAAAATAAAAAAGCATGTTCCCCGAGGTAAAAGGCGCCCCCCTTGATGGAGCCTCGTGCCCCCCTGGGGGCGCGCGCCCCACTATTTGAGAAACACTGCCCTAAACGTATACCTGTATATATTTTTTGTATTATTTCCGATATGGGGATTTTTTTCTCTCTAAAAATTAACAAATCAAGATGTTTCACTGTATTATATCTTATTGGACAAGATCAGAGCATAGTGTAGCACAAAAGGTCAAACTATGCTGAAGACGAAAAATTAACACAAGTTTGCAATAATCCCCAATAAATTGGGTCCACATTCTTTGTCCCATCATATGCATTTTTCGTGAACAAGAAATGGAATTAACATTTATTTATACTAACATATTAACTTTTAGATACAGTAAGGACGGCTATACCATCCATCCATTTTCTACAACAGCGTACGTATCCTGTTTAGGGTTGCAGAGAGCAGTAGCCTATCGCAGCTGACTTTGTGAAAAAGGCAGACTACACCCTGGACTGGTTGGCAGTCAATCACAGGTTACATAATTACAAGCATTGACACTCATATTCACATCGTCACTGAGTAGGGATACTGAACACATCCTGCCTGCACTCAAGTCCGGTAAGTGAAACATTACACCAGCAGGTAGCCCCGTGGATCACATGAGTAGCTCACGGGCCTGTTTTTAAAAATAGTTCTCCAGGGAGATGAGAGTAATTTTTTGAGTGTTGCTAAAAATAAATAAATAAATAAATAAACAAACAAATAAACAAATAAATAAATAAACCCTGCCGATTGCCACTGATCATTATTATGCATTTTTTAAAAATACACCTGCATTGATGGAATTTTGTTTTTAACCTAGTATTGTTCAAAAGTCAGTATGACCAAACCAAAGCATTTCTAGAGACAAGCAAGAGGGTTGCGATTTTCTTTATCCCAAAATTATTTGAGCAAAATCGTTTTTTGCATGCATTAGCTGGTTTGGCTAACACTAGTTTTGGTTAAACTAGCATTAAACACAGCATCAAAGCCAGTGGAAATTGTTTCAACAGCTTAGCGGAACGTGGCTAAAGCTATCTACGAACACCAGTTTGCGTTCGTACTGCATTTATTCAGCAGTTATGGGTTGTTACACACTAAAGCGCTAGTCACTGTAGCACCAACTGCTACGTAATGTTGCCGTGCAGTCAAATGTTCATTGTTTTACACTGGACGGCATTGTTGCAGTAATTTGTTATCAGGTACAGGCACTGTGTATGTGTGTAGCTTTAAGCCATTTGCTATTCTGTGTTTTTAAGGATACAATAATGCTATTAAAGAGTTTTGGGATATTAATGGTTACACAGTTCTAATGACTTTTAGGGGAGCATCATTTATTTGTGGAAATGTGCAATTATCCCCTGTGAATAGCGGGGGTCCACTGTATACAAAATATGTAAATAATTGCACATTCATGTTACCTCCAAAGACAAGGCGGTCTTGTCATACGCATTGGGGACCCTCTTCTGTATGGCCCTGGCAAAGACAGGTCCATTCTGGAGATTTGGGAGTGGGGTAGGTTGCGCATACTGGCTGGGATCTCCCATTAGTGGTGCTCCGGGCTGGGCTGCAGATCCGTCAGAGTTCCCTAACATCCCCAGGCCTCCTGGCGGACAACCAGCAGGTGCACTGGAAGCAACTGCTGAATTCGGAGACGTTGGACGGTACTTCTCCACATACGGCACCGGGATCATCCCTGCTCGGCCTTCAGAGTTCTGAGCGTTCCACCACTGCTCTTCGGGTTTCTCAAGAATGCGGAGGATATCACCCTTACGAAATGGGAGATCCTCGTCGTCGTTGCCAGGGAAATCAAAAAGCGCTCTGACATAAGGTACCTGACCGCCCCTAAAATTTTCTCAACGGATTTAGACGATTCACAAAAATGATCAATTTAAGAAATAAAACGGCGGATTTCCGCGGATCCGCGGAAAATTGCCATGTATGAAATAATTGCACATTCATGTTACCTCCAAAGACAAGGCGGTCTTGTCATACGCATTGGGGACCCTCTTCTGTATGGCCCTGGCAAAGACAGGTCCATTCTGGAGATTTGGGAGTGGGGTAGGTTGCGCATACTGGCTGGGATCTCCCATTAGTGGTGCTCCGGGCTGGGCTGCAGATCCGTCAGAGTTCCCTAACATCCCCAGGCCTCCTGGCGGACAACCAGCAGGTGCACTGGAAGCAACTGCTGAATTCGGAGACGTTGGACGGTACTTCTCCACATACGGCACCGGGATCATCCCTGCTCGGCCTTCAGAGTTCTGAGCGTTCCACCACTGCTCTTCGGGTTTCTCAAGAATGCGGAGGATATCACCCTTACGAAATGGGAGATCCTCGTCGTCGTTGCCAGGGAAATCAAAAAGCGCTCTGACGTACTCATCCTCGAGGCGAGGTGGAGGGGCACCACCCGGGCCGACACTGATAAAGGATGTGTGTTTGGACTTGTTGATGGGTTCAATTAGGGTGGTTGTGTCCAAGTAGTGGATTTTGTAGAACTCTAGCAAAGCAGCGAGCGCGTCAAACTCCTGGTCACCAATTCGAAACCTTGGATGTGACAAACTTGCTGGAATGGAGGATAGGAAAGATGGTACAGTTTTTACTATACAACTTTATAAAGTAAACAATAAAACATCGTCCAGTCAGTGGAATCGTAGCCTGTGATAGGCTCATTTGAGGCAACAGATTACAGTGAGTTACATGCATTTAGCTCAAAACCTAATCAAATGTCCGGATGTTTCTTTTGGCTGAAACAAAGGTGTCTAAACTACAGCATGGGGGCCATTTGCAACCCACTACTCAGGTATGTGTGTGTGTGTGTGTGTGTGTGTGTGTGTGTGTATAACATGGTTATGTACTTATATAACTTAAACTTGACTTATTAATTGGTTTTTGTGTGTACAAGCGAATAATAAGTGAAGAATTTATAGTGGCCCTTGTGTTCTTTCATTTGTTCTGAATGCAGCCCTGGTTAAAAAGAAGTTTGGACAGACCTAATTTTAACAAAATTTGCGTTTTGAATTAATATATTAGCTAGGCTTATATTGAAAACGATGAAACGACACTAATGTTTATCCCCACTGTTGCAAGTCATGCAAGCGTGCTTTCTTCATTATAAGAAACGGGAGATGGGGGGTTACACCATATTATCTTACCTGGACCGGATTGTCGGTTGTTGCTGATGCTGTTGATGATATAATGCGAGACCTTGGAGTTCTCCGAAACCGAGAGCACGTAGTCGCCCGGGCTGGTGATGGAGTCCCGCACCAGAAACACACCGTGCCTCTGCCCCTGCAATAGCGACACAGCCTCCTGCCTGCTTAGGCGACCCCAGTACCAACTGGTGCGGTCCTCCGCGTCAAAATTGCCGGCCATGATAAGCACTCCGAAGCCGAGGTGACGTCGGGCCTTCGCTGCTCTCCCTCCCGCGATCCACACGCAAAGCCTTCAACTCATACAAAACTTTAGCGCCTCGAGCACGTTTAGTAAACAGACGACAATCCGCAGCTGGCCGTTTGCGCATCAATTCACTGCCACAAAACCTCAGCCGCGAAGACAAAAATATTTTGGGTGCCTTAACGACAGCAGTCTTATCCAACTGTTAGAAATAGCACAAGGTGAAGGGTCAGAATTCCATATACACTATAACGGACGATGACAACTAAGTTCAAAAACTGAAATGGCGGATACGGGAAAACAAAAAAAAAAAGGACCCACTTACCGGATGTGACGTACACATTTCGATGCGCCGCATCAGTGGCAACCGGCAAGCTAACGTTAAATAAATCGCCACTTAGAACAACATAACATGTCCCTTGTGTTTATATGTAAAAAATGTGTCGTATGTCGAAGAGATGAAAATGTAGCCTATAGCATTTTTTTCATGGCACATAATTTATTAATGGTTGTTTGCATCTGACCACAATATAAAACTATTACCAAATATGTATATTAGATATCTTTATTTGACATTGAAAAGGTTTTAATTGGAATAAACAACGTAGCCTCAAGGTCATGGTCGAATTTAATATTAAAGTACCGGTTAGACAAAGAATGTTAATTTACCGTTTTCCTGGGACACGTTAAGCGCCCAGTGCAGTTTGTACATTTAACCACGAGATGTCAACCAAGACAAAAACAAAAGGCATAACCCTGAGATGTTGATGTTGATTAATGGTTGAACTTCTGTGTGTGGTGGTGTATAAATATTGACTATACACAGTGTATAACCTAGTGCTTAGCATGTCAACCTAGCAGATCTGACGTTCTGGGTCCAAATCTCTTCTGATGTTGGGAGAGTATGGAGTTTGCATATTTTCCTTGTGCTTGTGTCCATTCCAAAAACTGCATGTCCGGAAAATTAAAGACTCCAAATCGTCCAAAGGTGTGAATGCGATATGCCTTGTGAATGACTGGCAAGACATTGTCTGTTTTCCTCTCATATTATTTATTGTTAAGATCCACTTAATAATAATTTAATCTACTAATAATATACTGTACATAGCATCATTTCCACAAACCGTCTAATGCAGCACAAAAATCAAAGCTTAGTCTGAGCAGTGGTAAGAAGAACGGTATACAGTACTGTGGATTATCGAGCAGAAGTGTATGGAAGATTGTGAAAAGACACTAACATAAGTGCAAAGGAAATGCATGGTACTTTTACACGATTTATTAGGTTCTTGTGCAATCTAATGGGTTTTCAGCACTTCACCAAGGTCCATACCACTTCAAAACCAGACCCCAAAAAATTGTTCATTCATGACAGTGTCAGTCAAAAGCCAGCAAGATTACTATTGAAGAGGTTGTATTTTTTTAATAAAGCTCTCACGTAGGATCTCGTTAGATTGTGCAGGTGCACCTAAAGTGCATTGTGCCCCCACCCCCTTTCCTTAAATAATTTCGATATCCTCTACATTTGAGGAAAATATCAGTCATTTCACGACTTCAAACAAAGTAGTCTAGTCATTTTACCTGTAGTGATGAATGTGGTTTTAATTGCCGTGCCTTGAGCCACTTTGGTGAAATGAGTGAACCAAGTGCAGCATGGGAGAGGAAATCACCAAGCAATTACTATAGTGGCTACAACAGTAGAAACATAGTTGACTGACATGTAAGTGCTGATAAACATAGAAACCCTATTCTAATCTTTAAACCATTTTGGGTGGCTGTAGTTTACTCGTGGATGAGGCCCATTTAAAAAAATAAATGACAAGTAGGAACCGTTTTCTACAGAGAGGCCATGTCACTTCCTGAGCACTGCTGGAGTCCTTGCACAAGGCACCGGGCCCCAAATTTCTCAGGACACTTGTGCAGCCCTCTCATTTTAACCTAACTGTTTTTTGACTGACAGGCTGGCAAACAGAAGGGGTCGATATTTGATTAACAGCAGCATAAAGGGGGAACACTTCTCAACTGTCTCATCCACATCTCCACAAACAATAATAAACCTGAGCATAGCGTCTCTCGCATCACTTATTCAGAGGATGCATGCAATGAATGGTTCGGTATGACTTCTGAAATTTGCAATGTAATGCCAGTAGTGGATATTTGCACATTGTCAAAAATGTTTCTAATTATGTTTTAAAGGGCTCACTGGGATGATTAAGTGTGAGAACATTTGGACACTAAATGGTTGCATGGCTTACATTAAAGGGAAGAATCTTTGCACATAGATTCAAGTACAGCACTGGACTTTTACGGCTTTTTTTCCAGCCCCATGGAAAAGTGAATTGCATGGAAATACTTGATTTGTCACCATTTGCGTAAGAACCACAAAAAAAGAGGAAACGCACAATCCACCGTATCATAAAGCTTTCAACAAAGTGTGGATGGGCACTACTGTATCAGGAACTTGATAGATTTTTGAGGTGTCTCCATGTTACAGCGAATATTCCTGTACTCTACTTACTCCAAAACATGAAATATCTTGAATGATGAAAATAATGGGTTACCCCTCAGATTTCAAATGGACTAACTCTGATTTATTATTATTTTTGTGTTGGATTCATGATTCTCATTTCTCTGAACATGACCTTACGATGTCAGTTAAGATCGAGAACCTTTGCTGGTGTCATATTAACATCTGCTACTGACAATCGTCGTCTTCCGCATACATGAGCAGGAATTAAAATATAGCCTAACATTGTTACAATGCCAAGATGAACAGTTTTCGTCTTGTGGTCATTTTTGGAGCATTGACTTTCCTGGTAGATCAGCCTCACGGGCCGATAGATTCTTGTGAACAAAGCTGAAACCAACAGATGATTAGATTGTCCATTTAAAATGTGTGAATTTGACACGAATTAGAACACAATTACAGAAAAATGAACAAAAGTAGACTGTACTTAGTCCAAAACAACATCAACATGTGAGTAAAAAGTTCAGGGAGGTGTTTTTGGTGTGTATCCTCTGTTGTAACAACACTTCTTTTCACTATCCTTCATACCAGTGGTTCTTAACCTGGGTTCGATGAATTGGTCTCAGGGGTTCGATGGAGCCTCCGCCATGGAGGGTAAGACACACCCGACTCAACATGTCAATTAGTTATGACACGCCCGCTTGGCCATCACTGGCTACAGCTGATCACATGACATTGCTTGCCCAATCAGTGCTGTGGGAAATTTTGTTCGCATAGTAGTCAATGTGTGACTGTCATGATAGTACGTTGTACAATTTAAAAAAAGTATACTTATCTCTTGGAATTGTATTTACTTTTTTTCTGTTTTTAACAAATGGGTTTTTTTAAATATATTGAATTTGTAAAAAAAAATATTTATTTCTTTTTCACTGATGAAGGGTTCGTTCGGTGAATATGCATACTAACTGGTTGGGTTCGGTACCTCTAAGAAGGTTAAGAACCACTGCTTCATACTGTATGAAAGCTGGTTTATTTTCCTTAAAATAAGCAGATAGTAAAAACTTGGCACCTTTTACATTGCAATGCACATTTTCTGTGCGCTGGTCATCCCATCCATTTTCCTTAAAAATGGGGCACAGAATGCTCAATGGAAATGTATGGACAAGCAGTATTGCCACAATACAAATAATCTACCAAATACAAAATGCTTGTTGTTTTATATGTTTGAAAATGAGCATGTGACTCAATTTAATTGTACCAGAGCGGGGAGCAGCTTGTATTAGAATGATTAATATTGGGAAGTATTACAATCGGCACAACAACTGTCAGTGTTATTTTCCTATATAAGAGTCCGGATGGGATCTCATCCCTGTTTACGTCCACAGTCACTAGTATTCCAAAGCAGACTACAAAATGACCATACAAACCTCACATCAGTCCACATGTACATGTGTTAGTTTTTATGTAAGCTATTAATTGACTCGAGAACTGAAATCAGGTAAAATAGGTGCAAAAATCAATTTGTTTACAGAAGATAGCATGCATGGATGTGATCATAGCGCAAGTCAATATAAACTGTCAGCAGAGAACAGTAAGCAATCAGCTTTTTACGTTTTTCTATTTATTTATCTGCTAACGTCCCCCCTATTGAGACTAACTTTAACGTTTGAGTCTCTTCGTCGTCCTAATCTATCTGGTTTTCTGTTGATTTCATGTGGGTGGCCCTTTCAACAGTTTTTTAAAGAGCCTGACTGACATTATTTTTTTTTAACCTCTCATGACAGACACCTAACCATTAACGGGACATATTCCAGGCACATGAAGGTACAATGACGTTACGAGAAGGTCCTGACTCAAACTCCGAATAGGATGAGTTGCAATAAATAGCTTATTAATTACTGAGTGGTTTTATGCATTAGCCTGCCAAGGTAATTTGTAACTGACAAATCCTGTCTGCATACTTGTCATTTAATGGTTTGCCACCTTGGTTTATCTGGTTAAATCTGACTTGTTCAAACTGGGAGCAAGTCTTCCCTTGCTTCCTGCCACACGTGTACCTTGACACGGCAGGAGAAATATTTTCAGCAGAGATGAGAAAGGAGCAGCAATCAGGTCAAATGCTCTGATTGGTCAGTCACGTTGTCAAAATCATCCTCCTCTGCTCTCGTTGGCTCGGCAGCTGCGGAGGAGTGCTGTGACGGGCTGGAGCAAGACAATGGGGAGGAGCGGCTCTGTGTGTCATCCTCATCCTGCGCCATCACTGCCAATCGGCCCGGCCTCCCTTTCCTGTCTAACTCTTCTTCACGTGTCATCATCCTCCTGGCTTTCCTCTGCTCCTCGACGGTCCACATGCTCTCGTCTTCATCCTCCTTCCCTTGCACCTCCCTATCAAAGTCCAGTAGCTCCTCCATCATCTCCTCTATCTCCAGCTCACCGTCCAGTTCCTCCTCCACCTCGGACCGCAGCTCTCCCATGCTTTCAGTCCTGTTGGTGTCGTCGGTCTCCTCGTCTTCACCGATGACTTTCAGCCTTTCAGGGGGCTCGCTGGCCTGACTCTCACCGAACTCCAGGATGGTGGGCAGGTTGCCCTGCTTTGGACAGCGCTTCCTTAGGCTGACCAGGAAAGGCTGAGGCAGGGAGAAGATGTCCACATTGTTTCCCAGGTCGATCCATGTCACACTTGGGAAACTATTAGGATCCTAGGGAAGAAAAACATCTGCTTGTCACGGTTCTTCTCAGTGTAAAATGCAATCACTACAGTGACTACTTTGTGACATTGCCTCATCATGCAATCCCCACTTCATGTTTTGAAAAACAGTGGGTGAGAAAAGTTAGGGCAGAACTCCACCCACTGCAAGTGCCAATGCTTACACGGTTGAGTAGAAATGTTGGCATGCTTCTCAAATAAGCATATACATACAAAATAAAATGTATACTGTGAAATTGTTACCATGTGCAACAGCAACAGGTTAGACACCAAAGCAGTTAGGAGTTAGGATTTAATCTCTCTCTCTCTCTCTCCCTCTGCCTCTCTCTCCCTCTCTCTCTCTCTCTCTCCCCCCCCTCTCTCTCCATCTCTCTCTCTCTCCTCCCCTCTCTCTCTCTCTCCCCCCTCTCTCTCCCTCTCTCTCTCCCTCCTTCTCTCTCTCCCTCCCTCTCTCTTCCCCCCTGTCTCTCTCCCTCTCTCTCCCTCCCTATCTCTCTCTATCTCTTTCTCCCTCTCTCTCTTGTTGAGGAGGAGTCCTCAACACTCTCTCTCCACTGTGAGGCTGACGTGCTAACCAGTCAACCACCGGGGTGCCCATATATACTGTATTTTGAGAGAGCCTGGTGGTGGACTGGTTAGCACGTCGACCTCACAGTGCGGAAGTGCAGGGTTCAATTCTGGCTCCGGCCTTCCTGTGTGGAGTTTGCATGTTCTCCCCATGCCTGCGTGGGTTTTCTCTGGGTACTTTCGGATTCTTCCCACATTTCAAAAACACGCGTGACAGGTTCATGGAACACTAATTTGTCTTTAGGCGAAAGTGCAGATGGTTGTTTCTTCTATGTGTGCCCTGCCATTGGCTGGCGACCAGTTTTATCATCACCTTCCAAGACAGATCGCTAAAGTAATTCTGGTACAAACACTCACAGGAATTTCATGTTAATACTCTTTTAAGAGACAAAATGATAACACGGAAGAAACCTTTAAGGCATCTGTCAGCTCCTTCAGAATAGTCCTGGTCAGGCGGTTTCCGTTCATTGCCAGCGTCTCCAGGTGAGGTAGGGCAGCCAGGGTGGGCAGGAGCAGGAGGAAGGCTTCATCAGTCAGCTCAGTGAAGCCCAGCTCCAAGCTTACTACTGCGGAAGCGTGGTGCAGGAGGTGTGCACATAGACGTTCCATGTCGCGAGCTACCAGAGGGATACCGGACAGATCCAGCGCCCCGCTGGATGGAGGTGTGGACAGCACCGCCTTCAAACTACAACCAGACAAATGATATGACATCACAGTGATGAATTACACCCTACTCTCATGATGTAATCCTGAACAGATGTCCTTATTGACACTTTGTGGATCTCAAAGAATTACATGACTGCAACTCCATATGCTATGACTTCCACATTAATGTTTTATCAGTTAAACAAGATAACCAAAATATTACTCGGTGTCATACACCACTGCCAACTAAAATCATAATCATGCAAGATGTTGAAGTAAAATCTCTCTGGCATCGTTATTCAAAACTAACCACTATTATCTTTGGACTTTACTTCAGCTGAGTGTACAGGTGTCCTTAATGAAGTGTCCAACGAGTGCAAAACAATCGCCGGTCAGTACACACAAACTGGACAACTCCTGATGAGATAAACCATACTTAGGGCAAGCTTTGATCCTCAGTTGCTCACGGAAACAGAACACTTGTAAATCAGAAATATGGCAGCTGAGGGGAATGCAGACAGTTTGACACTAAGGGGATTTAGAGCTTAAGACACTGAAGTTTGCAGATGAAAAATTGCTTTTGAGTAGCACTTAAAGCTGTAGTCTCTGAGTGCATGGTTTGGCCTATAAATAAACCCACTGGAACAAATAGATCTGGCAAAGAATTAAGTGAGCTGGGCACAAAGGGCTGATCTACTGGTTTGCTCAATGAAGAGGTCAGTGCCGAACACTTCACTTTGCTTGGCTTGCAAAACCATGTATATAACCATATATATTATTCATGCAAATCATCTTAGGTTTTAGCTTAACCTTGACCCTAATCAGCACAGGCGCTGTATGGATGTAGGGATTTTATTTTTTTAGATTACATTTTTTGGAGCCCGAGACTCTACACGGAGACGATAAGCTTAGCGATGAAGCTGCGGACGCTCGACATGCATACACCCCACACGATAACAACGCGCAAACCACCCTCCCTGATGTCACTGCCTTCGTTGGGTTTCTATTCGCTCTGCGCTCATGACGTAACTTGACTGACAGAGCGCTTGAACGGTCTGAGTTGCCCGTCAGACTGGGTGCGTTGCGCCCCCTCCCCTCCTTCCACCCTACCCGTTCACGAGATGTAAAGTCTTGAGATTTGTTGTACATGTCTTGTACATGTGCTGAGGCTTTTTTTTTCTCAGGTCAAACTATGTTCCCATTCAAGGAGAAGGGTTGGAGTCTGTCGTTCCCCCCCACCCCGCCTCCTCTCCTCTTGCTTAATGTTTTCCTTACACCTGTAAGGTATTGGGGCGCTAAACAGCGAACTGACAGGCTTCTCATTCTGTTTCCCTTTGCTCATTATTTTGTTTATTTTCCTCTGGACGGGTTGTATTTGGGAAAGTAAATCCTTTGTGTGTTTTACATACTTGGACAATGAATCTGATTCACATTCAGAATGTATGCGGGCCAATGCCGCTTACTTGATGTCATGAGAAGTGAAGCCGCCACCTAAGGTTGCCACCCGTAAAGTAAAATACGGAATCATCCTTTGTGAATTAAATGTTGTGCCCCATATTGAACCAATGAAAGACGATGTTTGTCCCATATTTTCCTCATTATCTCATGCATCTGTCAGACACAAACGCGAATACTGAATTTAACATCCATCCATCCATTTTCTAATCCGCTTACAGTCACAAGGGTCATGGGCGCGATGGAGCCTATTTAACCAGTTTTGGTGACATGAGTTTGTCACCATTTAATTTAACTGGGTTGTCTCAGTCTGCTGTGATTGGGTGGTAACCAGTTCAGGGTGTCCCCCACCTACTGCCCGAAGACAGCTGGGATAGGCTTCAGCACGCCCTGCGACCCTTGTGAGGATAAGCGGATGGATGGATGGATGAATGGATGTCTCAGTCTGAGACAACTGGGTGGCACCCCACGTAAATAGTTGTACCTGACTTAGAAGAAGAAATTTGTAGTCATGTCATGGCACTTTTCTCAGGTGGAAATAACTTCATTAAAAAAAAAAAAAAAACAAGACTGATTGTTGAGATTTACAACATAGAGATAACATCAATGTCTGATAGAGGCCCAGACAGTGATTCCCTGCCCAATTTAAAGCCATATACGATCACTGTCTATCATGTCAATGATAGGCAAGCTTTTAACTTATTCAAATAGCAAACGCCCGTCAACTGCCATCATATGATGATTTGTGGCTCAGCTCACCAATGCTAGTGGCAGGAATGCAATCTTATTTTATACGACTCGGGCCAATATAGCTGATTTTTGGTGCAGGACCCAACAATATTTATGTTTTCATCCATTTTTGGATAGCAACAGATAACGCTTGGTAGCATGCTGCCACCGGCAGATGTAAATAATGCATGATTGGCTTTACAAGTGACGTTGTGATTATATTGTAATGATTCCTGTGCATCACTTGCCACAGGATTGCGGGATTACTGTATGCAATGTGCATGTGTGATAGCCAGGATCCCCAAAAGCAATTTTGAAGTGTCGGAAATATTTACATCGGCACTTCCTTTTCGTCATTGGCGAGGTGGCGAATGTGAAGCGACCTACCAGGCATGTAAAGCACTGGGGAAAACCCTGATTGATGAAAAGTAGAAGACATACATACTTTTATTGCATGAGCTTATCTGAATTGTGTGGAGGACAGGAAATACACTTTGCAATAGTAAGAGAATAATCAAAAATATAAAATCAAATATGCTCTCTCTTGAGAAGGATGTACAGTTGCTGACAGCTACCCTGCGCTGTGTCGAAATCATACTGAAAAAAGCATTCCCATATGACAATACAGAATAGCCAATTCCATTACACTGATGCGCAAACACTGATGTGGCTCCTGGCCTTTCGACAAACAAGCCATAAATTGATGCCACACAACTGTGGTCATGGTCTAGGTGTGCTAATAGAAACACTGCGCCTTCGTAACCAATGGCACCCACTGCTAAAGCAGTTTCATCACATGTAGCAAAAATGATCAGATTCTTAATTATTCTCAACGGGGTCACACAGAATGATGTAGCTTACAGTTTCCCGTTTGGTTCAGCGCAAATGAGTGAGCTAGAGTTAAGGCACTCTAGAGCGTGTCATCAGTAAACTTGCACTAAAGCCGCCAGTAACAGTGTTTATTAACAACAAGAAATGAAAGAGATTTATTGAGTCCCCAGAAGGATTACAATGAACATAATTAATTTTTCTAGAATGGAACTGTAAAAAAACAAAACAAAATAAAAACACAAAATAAAAGATTGTTACTTGGGTAATCAGCAGGAGGCACAGGTGGGTAACATGGTTGATATAACTCCAAGGAGGTCAGCTTTCCCCAAGGAATAAATATGAGTCACAGTGAGATGAAAAGAAGGTTTTGCACCTTGGATGTGATTGAAGAATCCTTTCAGTGTCATTTAACTCCAGTAAATGTATTCCTACCCAGTCACAGGAAGGTGACAACAGTATCAGCATACTGCTGTGACCTTTGCATCATGAATGTGGACATGAAATGTTACATTTGAATTTCTATCAGACAGACAATTGTAACTGACACAGTGACCAACAAAGGTGTGTTAGTTGGGTGGGGGGGCTGGGTGGTTTGTGGTTTGTTTAAAGATTAAATGAAGATAGATTTAACCACATTCTATTCTTTTATTACCAACTGTGACACGTGTGCCCATATTGACTGTATGCTACCACTAAATAGCAAAAATTCAACTGCCAAATACATTGCCACACCTTCTGGGGCATGGTTAAATGCGAGACATTCTTGTTAAATTATATTTAGTCCTCTGCGGGCGAAGAGTGTTGCAAACATCCTGAGTCATTCTGCACTTACAGTTGGTGGGAGGCAATCAATACACTTTGTTAGTAAGGCAGCAGGGGCCAGCCGGTCTGCAAGTGTCCAACAGTACATGCCAGCAGACAAGCACAGTGGTAGACAGAAAAAAAGGTCATGACAACAAGTCTTTGTACCATATGACAATAAAAGCCATCAATAACCATACATGGCAACTCTATTCTCAACACAACACTAGTCCAACACCTATATTCTTCATGATATGCGATGAATATAAACCTAGGAGTGTCAAACATGACAACAAAACAGTAAGGGCAATTAGAAAATAAATCCCACGAACTCTTACATAAAAAGTGAGCACTCTACGATATGTGCTAACAATGTTAGAATAGATGAGTTTCAATGTTTGCCTCCAGGATGCGCGTGCATCTTAATGACGTCACTGTTGTTTGCATAGACGAGCATTCTTAATTGCCTCCTCAGTCCAATTTTCACGTCGTCAAGCTTGTAACCATAACTTTTGCCGTTTTTTCTGAAAGGGATGTTTACCAGCAGGAATTCTATAAAAGACTAAATCTCTGTGTATGCTCTTTCCATTCTGACAACCCACGGCACGAGAGTATTACGACTCACAAGCATGTGTTTTCTGCTTCCAAGATGTGCGCACAGCCAGACTTACCGTATTGGCCCGAATATAAGACAGCCCTGATTATAAGACGACCCCCTCTTTTTCAAGACTCAAGTTTGAAAAAAGACTTTTTGAACACCAAATAAATTTTTGTACAGAAAATAATTACAGTCCATCTGAAACAAATGATTATAACAATATATTTGAGAGAAAAAGCATGTTATTTTGCCTCATTCAAATCTTAATGTCTGAACATTTAAATATGTAAATTAAAGTGCAATCACATTCGTAAATGAATGGCTTCTGGTTTTTGAAATGTAAATTACGTCATAACTTCTCCTCAGCTGCTGGTTTACCTGGCCGATCTTCGACCCACATTTCCCCAGATTGTCGCTACGTTTCTTCATTTTCTGTTATCTCCTATTATTTTCTTCTCTTTTCTTTCTTACCGCTATTTTTATTTTGTTCTTCGTGCTACCGCTATTTTAATTTTTATTCGTCGTGACAGGGGTTCGCTTTGGCCTGGGGAGTCAAGTTCAGCATTCGCTTCAATGAAATCTGGCGCCATCGAGCGTCGTGAATGGGTATACTGTCTAGACCCTGAATATAAGATGTCTTATTTCAATGCAAAAAACACCATCTTATATTCGGGCCAATACGGTAATGTATGCATACGTCACATGAAACTGATCTATAACATTGTCTGTCCCCAGTAGTCCACTGTGTGGCCCCTCCCTCTGTTGTGTTTTGTTCCCTTTCCCTTCATTCAGTGTGGGCTGGACGTCTCACCTACACACCTGCCAGTCTTAAGCTCGTCTGCCACACTCACCCCTTGCAGCGTGAAGGCCAGTCCATTGCCAGTTTGTCAGCCAGCTTCCCTGTCGTACTCGCTGCTACGCTCAGCCTTCTTGTACGCTTTGGTTTGGTTTCCCTGACCCGTCCCTTTTCCTGACAATAAACCAGTACTGAGTTCATTGTGTCTGCCTGTGGGTCCTGTGCTCATCTTAACCTAAACCTAACAAACTCCCCCCAAGGAACACATGGTGTTGCCAAATTTGGTCTGAAATTGTACCTTCTATATACTGTATGAAGGTGCCATTTGACCATATTCAAGTCCAGAAAAATAGACGAGGTGACCAAAAAGTGACAGCCAGGACAGTGACAGTGGGCCAAGACAAAACTGATGCATGTTGGCGATAGACCTGAGCCACCATCTTTTGTATTTGATGGCACCCCGTCCACTTTGTCTCCACCTTTAAATATCTTGGCTCGACAATGACTAACAATGGAGACCTCAAAACAGACGTCGATCCTCGCCGTGCCCTTGCAGCCTCTGTCATGCAGTCCTTGTGGAGACCGCTGCGGCGCCACCGGCACATATCCCGGGCAACAAAGCTCAGAGTCTGCAATGCCTCAGTCATCTCCGTCCTTCTGTACGGCTCCGAAACCTGGCCACTGAATAACACTCTTGCGGCCAGGCTTGATGGCTTTGACTCCAGGACCCTCAGGAGGATTGAAGGCATCTCGTGAACCGAACACATCATAAATCAGGCTCTAAGAGACAAAACCAAACAGCCACCAGCCTCCCGTCTTGCAGCAATGCGGCGAGTGCGATGGTATGGCCATGTCATCCGCCTGCCCCAGGAACACCCAACCCGCACACTCTTGGCCTTCAACCCTCAGCAAGCTGGCTGGAGACGACCCAGAGGTGCCCCCCGCACTCGCTGGTTGGACACAATAGCCTTGGACCTTGGGGCCTGCAATGTGACCCTCGAACAAAGTCAACACCTTGCCCACAACAGATCCAGATGGAGAGACCTGGTTGCAATGGTTGGCTCTCCGCGGCATGAAGTGCAAGAGGACTAAAGAAAGAAGAAGAAAGAAAGAGGTAAAGACCAAGAAGTTAAGGCAGGGGTAGGGAACACCGGTTCCTCAAGAACATGTTTAACTTGACTTCCCCTTTAAGCAAACGTAGCTACCCCTGCATGCCCCTGCGCACGGAGACCGCTTCCTTCATCGCACCTTTGCACCTTCCAGCTGCACACTCCTGAGAGGACTGTTGTGAAGCAGCTCCCCCCGAAATGGCAATAATGCTCATATGAGACTCACAAGATTGGGTCACATAACAAGGACAAACTGGTGGAGCTGCTCCCCAGGCTCATTGACGCATAACATCATGCCTGAACTCCGTTGAGTCTTTTGTGAAAGAAATTCAAGCGCACACACCAAGATGAAACCTTTCAGCACCTTTCAACACGTGAACAACTCTATTTAGGAGCCTGAGAGCTGCAGTAAACAGTTCCAGCAGATACAATTTGTTTTTGTCACCAAGCGAATAAACAACAGTGCAGTTCTACCGTGACAAATTACAACTTCATCTAGATTGGATTTGCTCACCCTCATTAGTCCCACAATGGGGGAATTTGTGATCTAATCTAATCTAATGGGGTGTTGCATTACAATTTTACATCAGAGGCCTTTAGAGTCACTCATCAGTCAAGAAATATAAATTACTGAGATGACTCGACGCAAACTGCAGCTCTCCTTAAAAGATGTACATTTTCAAAATGATTAGCATCGCTAGCCTACAAATACTCAAGTTCATCGGCATTATGTTTGAAGACCTTATTTATTTCAACACACTGCTTTCAAACGCATTTTCTCATTTACAAAATGTTGCCATAACATGTGCAAACCGTGCGAAACGAGAATGCTGACACTTTTCATCACAAAGCTTTACAATAGAAAACACACACACTTGCCCGTCAGGATGCTGTGGTGGGATGTAAGTCATAATTATGTTCATACATGTTCCACAGTGTGCAAGGACGACATTTATACTTCCGTCCCTCATAAAAAAGACACAGTCTCATGATGCCTTGAGAGTTAAATGAGCCCAGTCTTGCCTCTCGCTTACACCTGCGACGCGGAATTAATTAAAGGCTGCTCATCAGTGCAGAATAATTTCACATAATCTTTGCACCCTTTTTTTTTAATCTGATATTGTGATTACTGTCACCACTGCTATCTGCTCACACCAGGATGCATTTGTCAGGAAGACTGCATGTTTGCACGTTAAAAATAGTTGCTGGTCACAGGTTTTGGTATAGTATTCAAATTCATTTTTTGTGTTGCACTGTATAAGAAAAGTAAGATCTCATTTGAATATGCATCCATTTTCTATAGTGCTTTTCTAGTAGGTGAATTGGAGCCAATCGCTTGCACAGAGTAAGAGGGAGTATCGCAACTGACAGGCGCTGGTCAAGAATGTAAAGCCCACTGTGTTCAGCCATGTGTTTGTCTAAAAACGTAATCATTCCAACTACAAAACAGTAATGGGGTGGGGGGGCAAATGATGATAGGACACAAATCAACATTCTCTGATGCCTTGCATGTCATACGACATTTTACCCCGAGCTCTATCAAACACATGCATGTACATTTTCACTTGTCTTAAAACTTGCCCCAAAATTTCATGGCTCAAAAGCGGCTTGTTCAAATTGTTATGCATCAGTTAGAGTTAGTAAGGCTCTTACTCTAAAAAAAGAAGGATAATTCCCTGAAAGATCAGTTGAAGCAGTACTTCGTAATCTGTCTTTTAATTTGAGCTAATTTGGCCATGTTGGATGTGAAGTGCTTTGAAGTTTCGAGGAATGCTTTAAGTTGGAAGACGCATGGTGGAAAGTTGTGGCCTCTACAAAGATACACATTTGACCAATTCCTGAGGGAGTAAACTAGAGTGGTACCTCTACTTATGAAATGAATTGGTTCTGGAAGAAATTTCTTAACGAGAAAATTTAAGTAGAGACGTGTTTTCCATGTAAATGGCCTAATCCGTTCCAAGACCCCCCAAATTCAGACAAAAATGTTTTCTAAAGCATACAAATGCATCACATTTTCTAACAAATACATGTCACAATTAGATTATTGCACAATAAATGAGAGTTGTGCATAATGTAAAAAAAACAAAGAATAGAGTAACAAATAAAAATGATGGTTGTTTAACTTTTAACTGCATCCTCATCGTTTTTTGCCCTCTTTAGTTCATGTTCTCTCTCAGAAGTGTTTTTTGCCTGGCGTTTTGTACAGAACTGATCCAAGCACGTTTCTTTATGTCGGCTTTTCACAATCCTTTGAAAATGTCCAAGGCAAACATCAGCATAGTGAGCCACTTTTCGGAACGCCTCATGGCCCCAGAGGCGAATGATGAGGACGCACATCTATCCATCTACACACGTAGACTCATACAGTAGAGGTCCCGCTTCGCCAATGGGATGCCAGGAAGATGCTAGGTAATAGCCAATGGCAGAGCAGCTATAAGTATGTTACGTCAGGAAACTCGGAGCTGCGAGTAGCAGCCCATACTGTAATTTTAACTTTCGTAATTTGACATTTCTTTTGTAACAAGATGCAATATTTTTCTATTGAGGCGTTTTGTAACTTGAAAATTCTCTATGAAGAGACGTTCGTAAGTAATGTAGGGGTACCATTGTATTACATTAAAATTAGGTGACAATTGTTGGCAATCATTTGAGTATGAAAAATAAAGGACAGTGTTAAAAAAAAAAGATGATGACAAAAGGAATTTGCCATGAAAATAATACCACTTGAAGTTCTGACCATGCTTGGGGTTTCCGCTTGAGCAGCCCTTGTCTCCTCCACTGAGAGTGAGGGCTGAGGTGGTAGGTCAGCTGACGACAAACCTTCTCCATGGCCCCCAGAGAGTCGCCCTCCTATTGGACGCAGAGAGGCACAAACAATGAAGCCATGAAGAACAGGTGAAAGAAAGTCTTACGATCAGAGTCATGGGAAATCTGTGAAAAGTTGCAAACTACAATACACTGCTAGAGATTATGACAAAAACGACAAAATGTACTTCACACCAAATGTGGTAGTCATCAAGGTTAAGTTCACAAGATAGTTTTTTTTTTTTTAAACAAGTTTAACAAGTGCTGATCATGTCATGTTCTGCTCTGCCTTGTTTTTGTTTCAGCACCAGCTGGAGTGTTGGGCGTGACCCTTCAGCGGTGTACCTGTGTCTCGTCATGCAATCAAGCTTCCTTAGATGAGGTTAATTAGGTTAGGTTAATTGTTTATTGAACATACAATACAATAACGGATTGACAAAAGGCAAGCAAAAGTTACAAAAGGAAAAATAAAAAAAAAGTACCGGTACCTTGTATTTTGGGACTTCCAAGATGGCTCGTGTTTGTCGGATTATTGACCTTATTCACTGTTCATGCCCAAGTGCCATTTTCTGGACCTCATGCTCTCGCTCACAGTCGCTTTCGCCTCGATAGATTTTGGTTTTGTAAGTATTTTCTTTGTCAAGCTATTTTTGACTTATTTTATGTTAGTGTTTTTGGACTCGTGTCATTTTGTTTTGTGGACTTTGGGTTTTCAATTGTTCCATGTCGCTTTTTTATCACCAATGGGTTCTGTTCATACTTTCTCGGTTTCTCGCTTTTCTATGAATAAAGTTATTTTTGTCATTATCATGAATCTGAGTCTTCCTTTTTGGGATCCACTTTCCACCCGGTCTTTGTTCAGACCTTGCCAGATTGAAGTTTGTTAGCAGAAATGTGACATGAGCCTAGAGCAGGGGTGTCAAACATACGGCCCGCGGGCCGGATCCGGCCCGCAAAGGAGTTTAATCCGGCCCGCGAGATGATTATGTAAAGCAGAGGTGTCAAACATACGGCCCGCGGGCCGGAACCGGCCCGCAAGTAGGTTCAATCAGGCCCGCAGGATAATGTAAAAGTGAAAAAAATGCATTAAAGACACAGAATTAATATTTTTAATCAGGTGCAATTCATTGAGTATCCGCAAGGGGACACTGTTTTGATCAGAGAAGAAGACAACAGCAGCCTCAGTCTGTCACTGAGACAGACCCATGACAGCAGACGCTATCAATAGCACTCTCACATTTACACATTCAATAGCACTCTCCTTAGTTTGTAAGGTGTAGGCAGGGATTACATTTAGATTTTATATGCACGTGTAAATGTTTTTTAAATTCCTTTCTTTATCAATCTCATTTATTCTTAAAATGTATTACTCTATTTTTCACGACCAATTGTTAAAGTTTTGTGCCTTTGCACAATCAGTGGGACCAGTTGCAATGAATATATGTGAACGATAAAAGTAAAATGCACATTTGTCTAAGGAAATCTAAGGTGCTTCATGAAATGTTTTGTAAAAGATATGTTCATTAAATTTCAACATTTTCCTAATGTTCTTGTGCTTCTTTATACCAAAACAAAGGAAAGACATATTGTTTTGGTTATTTATAGCAAAGTATTGTATCATTTTAATGGTCCGGCCCACTTGACATCTACCGAGGCCGTATGTGGCCCACCATGTGAAATGAGTTTGACACCCCTGGCCTAGAGGGTACCATTAAAATTGGCAACATTTGAGCAAAAAAGTTGGATTTAAAAAAAAAAAAAAAAGACACTTAAGGTTCAAAATTGTCCGAAACGACTTCTGGCCTTGAACAACAGAGTTGGAGGCATTCATCACTATTCATAAAACAAAGTGATGCTATCAGTCAAAGTCTAGTCAGCGAATCGTCTAATTCACGCAGGACTAACAAAGGGAGGCATTATGGGCAAGACATTACTGCAGAGAGATGAGAGTAAGAAAAGCCTGATTTATGGACCATTGGAGCAACTAATTGGCAAATGCATCTGTCAACCAAGCGTGTGTGTGTGTGTGTGTGTGTGTGTGTGTGTGTGTGTGTGTGTGTGTGTGTGTGTGTCTGATATGAAGCAAAGTTGGGGATTTTAATGCTTCACAGAGCGTTGATTGATGTTTCACTCCAGCCCACTGGTTTCATGCTTTGCGAGACTAAATATATTATTTACGATTAAGGCTGCCATTTCATCAACTTAAAATGGCGACTTAACACAATTTCAAAGACAGAATTATTCGGAATGAATCGTGAATTTTTCGGTGCGATAAGGTATTGCAATAGGTCATTTCGAATCGTTTAAGACGTAATATTTTGCTGCAAATCCTGTGCTTGCAATGACTTGCATCAAGCCTGTGGCCCACTGACTCCACCAAACCTTTTCAATATTCACTGTTACAACACCACCAAATACTTTCAAAATCATTGACATTATTATTCTGTGCTCTCAGTTTCTGGGAACATTTTGAGGCCATCTGCCGCAATTTGAAACGGCCGCGCATTTGCCGATGCCCCTTTTATTGAGTAATAGAAGAGGGGCTTATGGCACTGGCTGTCATTTAGAATGAATTCTGATTCGTCAACATACGCAGAATGGTGCAAAGAAAATGGGCTGGTGCACACGGCATGAATCCAACGATGTTTTCGTATATACTGTATGCTCAAATACCTTGGTAGAACTGACATATTTTAGTACCCCTGTGGTTTGCATTTTCAGGAAATTCAAAAGGGCTTAGTGGCTAAACAGATGTTTGTGCAATGGCAGTGAGTGAGTGTCCATCTTGCCAGCTTCTCAATTGCTAATTGTTCACCTATGGACAGCTTTCTGGTTTTCAAGTTGGTCACACGCGAGTCCCTAGAAATGAAAGTGGAATAAAATCCGTAATGTTCCCAAATGTTTTCAGTCGACCATAAAAGTAACCGAATTGGATCCACTGTTCCAATACTTTTGAGGGTCAGTGTGGGAGACGATGTCTGCGTCAGTGGCACGCAGAGCCTGAAAAGCCTGGTCTCACACGGTCTATCTTTTGTGAACCGTGCATGACGGCAGTACTTCACACACCGATGACTATGGCTCATACCTGTGAGAAATCGAAGCAGAGGCAATTTACACAAGACAGAAGAGTGCAGAGATGATGAAGAGAAAATAATGCAGGATGACAGAAATTCATTTTGAGTGTCACGACAGATTGTCAGGCGTGCTGCCAGAAATGTTCCATTTTCACTTCATTGGTCCAAAAATCAAGAACTCTGCGTGTGTTTGTTCAACATCAGCTTTGTGGTGTCGTTTGCCGTTTCAAATCTCAACCTTTCAACACGTTCTTGTATTGTGTGTCTGACTGGTTGAGACATTATTTCTACCAACCGTTCAAGGTAAACACCCTTGAGCTATTAAAGCTGCATCAAGTGGATTGTAACAGAATAAATGAGACAGATCCTGGGTCGGTAAAAGCAGCAGTAGTGGTATTTGAGTGGAGCTTGTGCTTTTCTACATTTCACTTGGACTTTGATTGAATTTTCTCCCACGTCTTGTCATGTTCTGTCTGTTTTGGTTGTGTTTCAGCTCCAGCTGGAGTGAAGGGTGTTTCCCTCCTGCAGGCGTTTCCCCATCAAGTCTTGCCAAGTATTTATGGACTGCCAAGCTGCCTCGTCTCTTGTCGGATTATTGACCTTGCTCGCTGTTGTGCTTCAACTGTTGTTTTCCAGACCTCTTGATACCCTCCATAGTCGCTCTCATTATTCATAGATTCTAGTTTGTATTTTTTTTTTTTTCCTTATTGCTCTTGATGCAGCCCGGTGCTCTAGTGGTTAGTGCGTCGACCTCACAGTGTAGAGGTACTGGGTTCAATTCCAACTCTGGCCTCCCTGTGTGGAGTTTGCATGTTCTCCCCGGGCCTGCATGGGTTTTCTTCGGGTACTCCAGTTTCCTCCCACATTCCAAAAACATGCATGGCAGGCTGATTGAACACTCAAAATTGTCCCAAAGTGTGAGTGTGAGCGCAGACGGTTGTTCGTCTCTGTGTGCCCTGCGATTGGCTGGCAACCGGTTCAGGGTGTCCCCCGCCTACTGCCCGAAGACAACTGGGATAGGCTCCAGCACCCCCAACGACTCTTGTGAGGATAAGCGGATCGGAAAATGAATGAATGAACGAATTATTGCTCTTGATCTGTGACTTCATGTTATTAGCTTCTTGACATTTTGTTTGTTTATTCTCTGCGTTTCCATTGTACCTTGCCTTTTGCAAGCGCTTTTTTTTTTGTTTGCAATGTTTTGCATTGTTTCGTCTGGCTCCTTGTGACCAACGATTTTGGTTTGTACTTTGTTGGTGCGCTTTTTTTTTTGTTATCGCACTTTGTCTGAGCCTGTATTTCCGAATCCAAAAACATTATTCGGGTCGATCCAGAACCAGACACATCTCCTCTGTGCCTTTATACCTCTTTTCCTCTGTATGCTGTCATTTACTTGGCCACTTACATTCTGGATAAAACTGATATCAATCCATCTCAATAGATTCAATGATCCCCGCTCCCTTCAATATCCAGCTCTGCCACCATCCATCCCAAGCGACTCTGCTTATATCGAATACTTTTCACTGCACTGCTCATTTGTGCATGCCATGTTTGGGGTTTTGGCCGTATTTTAGGATGAAAGCCACATACGTTTTTGTACAGTACATGAGGCCCTTTGTGATTTGTTGTTTTAGGTCATGATGACCAAATGCACTCATGCTGAACACAACATGTCAGCTTCGGGGCATTTGTGTAAGACCATAACACACTAGCCAGTCAGCATGAAATGCCTTTTTATCTTCACCGCTCCATGTTCCTTCCTGCATTTTTCATCTAGTAGGGTAGCTGTCATACTTTCGTTCACGCTGACTCAATGACATCTCAAACTAGATGAATGAACAAACACAAAAAACAAGCAGTTTCCTTATGAACGCACACACTTCTACACAACCACTTAGAGCAATTCTCTAATCTAATAAAGTCAGACGAAATGATTCAGTGCGTGTGCGTGCGTGCGTGCGTGCGTGCGTGTGACTTACCGTCTTTGGGCAGTGTACATATCGTGCCAGGCTGATGATCAGGTCATGTGTGATGGGGTCGACAAGGTTTCTAAAGCTGGCGTAGCGGTATAATACATCGTCCAGAGATGTCGATTCCATGCCCAGGTCCTACACACACATACACACACCACACAGAATGTTTTTTTATACACTTTATGCACTATCAGCCCTCTTATAGGGACGAAGACATCATAGTTATGTAACACATTTTGCACATATAAACAAACCTCATGACTCACTGAACATGGAAAGAAAACACAGTCACAGCATACACAAATATAAGCACATAAGGCACATAACTTATGTGGACATTGATCACACTTTCTTTTAACCTGTTGAATTTCCACTGTCAATCAAAACCAGGATATGCTGTATTATTCTTGCCAAGACAAAAATGTTCTTATGACCTGTTTTGGATCTAATTTGTGCAGCTGTGGCTTATGAGCTGCTTGGCTACTGGGTATATGGTACACAATAAATGTAATTATGCAAACAGAGTTACACAATCTGACACCACAATGTGGTTCGCCCCTGCTTGAAAAATATGCAAACTCCATATACCGTAAAATTACCATTGCTTATCAACAGTCATTAAAGAACGAAGGGGAAACGTCCATCCATACATTATCCGAACCGCTTATCTTCACGAAGACTGCAAGTGTGTTGGAGCCAATCCCAGCTGTTATCGGGCAGTAGGCGGGGTACACCCTGAACAGCCAATCGCAGGGCACACACAGACGAATAACCGTTCACGCTCACAGTCACACCTAGGGATGATCTGAAATGTTCAATTAACCTATCGTGAATGCTTTTGGAATGTGGGAGGAAACTAGAGTAGCTGGAGAAAACCCACACAGGCACAGGGAGAACAATCAAACTCCACAAAGGAAGGCCGGGGCAAGGATTCGAACCTTAGACTGCTGTACTGTGAGGCAGTCGTCCACTATGCCGAAATGAATTAGAAAACACAAAAAAACTCACTTAGCCTTGTTGAATTATTGTAGTTTTTGCTCATTTCAAGCTCTACATTTGTATTCTTGAAGACTGTATGCATGCAGCACTTCCGCATTCAATATCAGAGGGCAGCGAACTTCAGATGCTGGGGGAGAATTTCGTGGAGGGCGCTGTTGATGTGGACTGGTGGGAATGCCCTAAAGTGAGTTCTGTTGGAGTTTTTTTTTTTTTTCTTGCCTTGCTTGCCATAGTGCATTCTTTGTTGTGATTTTACGACAAACATCTGGCATGAAAGCATTGTAATTCAGGCGGTTTGTAGAAAACAAAATTCATTTCTTGAACAGTCAGCATAATAGGCAGCTCCATTACAAAGTATACACAAAGAGGAGATATCAGTACAGTACTGACAAAAGCTGATGCTCTCACTTTATCCACCCATCCATCCACTCATTTTCAACACCGCTTATCGTGAACAGGATCCATCCATTCCATCCATTATCCGAACTGCCTTTTCCTCACGAGGGTTGCGTGCATGCTGGAGCCTCTCCCAGTTACCGTAGTTTTTAGTCCAGATCTAAAGTTGGCATTTTAAAAGCAATTCAAATTACGGTACTGTATGTTGAATCTCTACCCATCTCCGGTGTGCAATACGTAAAGCCACTTTACCTGTTTGTCCATTTACCGTGATTTTGTACTTGTTGTTCTTCCAACATTTGCCGTCTTATACTTTGTACTTTATTTTATGACCTTTTCCTATGCACCAAACGAAGTCGTCGATGGTGTAGTGCAGGGGTGCCCAACCTTTTTTGTCCCAAGGGCTACTTTTCAAGGAGCCAACCTCCGGATATCTACCAGTCCAGTGTCAACATCGCAACACCCCCCCTTTCTTTTGTAATTTTTATTTTTTGATGTTTGTTTTTTTAGTTTATTTTAGACAAAGAAAATTTTACATTTACATCCAGCCCTGACTGTAAACCCGGCGGGATGGCTCGCCCTCAGGATTTGGCAGAGGTGGAAACAAAGGCCAGATTTACCGGAGGTGACGAAACCTGGGGACACGAGCAGACAATAACCCTACAAAACCCCTGACTTGTGTGCTTAACAACAACAACAACAACAACAACAACAACAACAACAGCAGCACCAGCCGTTGTTCATTGGGAACAGCCTTAAAAACGTGCCTTCATGCCACAGACTCCAAAAGTCTCCCGTAACACCAAAATCAGTCGGTAGATTGTCACTAAGTCACTTTAAAAAAAAAAATAAAATTTTAAAGTTGCTCGAGAGGGTCTGAATATTTGCTAAATATAGCGTCAAAGTCGGTAAATTGGCAACACTGACTTCCTGTCATGTCATACTTTATTTTTTTCCTACACACCTTGCGGTGGCCTTGGGATCAGTCCGCGGTGGTTGACTGGTTGGGCACCCCTGGTGTAGTGGTGCACTCGCCTGACTGGTGTGCGGGCAGCGTGGGATCGGTTAGCACTCAGTGACAGTGTCAATGTGGGTATGAATGGTTGTTCGTCTCTATATGGGCCCTGCGACCGATTGTCGACCAGTTCAGGGTGTAGTGCGCCTTTCACTCGTAGTGAGCTGTGATAGGCTCCAGCACCCATGTTCAGCATAAATGGTGTTTTTTCACAGATGGATAATCAAATGGAGCGGTGCTCCGAATTTTGTCATATACCTGATGCACAATGACAATAAAGGCATTCTATTCTAGTCATAATGACAATAATAATAATAATAACAATAATAATAATAATAATAATAATAATAATAATGTCTGTCCGAGAAAAGAATGGACTTGTTGTGACAATATGATTATTTTGTCCCACCCCTGTGACAAAGCCCCTTTATCCATGAGTTGTATGTTTTAAGCTATGACGATGACCAAGATTGCTAAGTAGAAAATGTCAGCCAGCCAGCTCGGCAAGTAAAAAAAGCAACTGAATACACCTGCAAATAATGAGCACGTCATTGAGGCAGCCATGGCTGAGTGGTTAAGAATCCTTCACAACTGAAGGGCAGGCTTGATTGACATGAGAGCATTGGTTCTCACAGCTCAAACGCTCAGTAGGGAAGCTGTCTGTTACTCCAGGAGTGTTACTAATGCGGTGGGCCTGCTGTGTTAAATGCAGAAGTCTTATTTCATATTAACCATGTGTGTGGATCTAAAAAGTGGCTGTATCTTAATCACATTGCATGCTCAATTTAGTATTTGTGTTGTTTTGCTTTACTGCAAGTATTAGATTTACCAAAAAGGTTACCGAACTAAATTGGTGGAGGGAGAGGCTCAATTGTCATGCAAATGGTTTGGTTTAAAAGCATCATTTACTACAGAGGAACAATTGATACCAAGGACTGGACAAATAAGCATTACACACTGATGCGTCATCATAATTGTCTACATAATGGCTTAAGTCAGGGGTCGGCAACTCAAAACGTTGAAAGAGCCATATAGGACAAAAAAAACAAAAAACAAATTTGTCTGGAGCTGCAAAAAAATAAAAGCCTTCTATAAAACTTAAAATGAAGGAAACACATGCTGTATGTATGTAGGAGACTGGACTGTCTCAGAATTGTTTGTTATTCATTCCTTTGTTGTGTGTTCACAAACGCCCCCATAGATTTCCTCGCTTGATTTTTTGTTTTGGTGCATTTTTTTCGCTTTACTTAGTGTCAGTGAAGTGATCATTAATTTCCGTTTTTTGGAGGCTGTCTTTGAACGCCTCTCGAGTCGAACGAGAAGAGAGAAGGCACGGAGTCGGACAGACGTGTCTGTGATTGTCGAGCCTGTTAAAAGCATAAATAAAGTGTACGTTTTAAAAAACCAACACCACAGCTCTCCTTTTTCGGAGCTGCAACATGTATCTATATCTATTTGAGCAATATTAGCCTACTATCAAAATCTTTTTCCATTTTCAAACATTTTTTTTTATAAAGCTCCAGAGAGCCACTAGATGTCGCTAAAGAGCCGAAATGCGGCTCTGGAGCCGCGTGTTGCCGACCCCCGGCTTAAGTAATTTGCCATTTAAGACAACCAGCCTTTAGAATTTGCTCCCAATGATATAATGTATGATTGTTTAATTCTCTGTTACATCACAAAATATCTCCTTACTGACTCTCACACAAGCTGTTCCCATAAAAACATCACAATCATACGTAAATGCAGGCGACATTTACGATACCGATTTTAAAACAGAATAAATCACACTTGTTTATGGGTTATAGGTACAGGCTTATAGTGTCCTTGTGTGTGTGTTGGTGTTTGTACGGAGCAGAGCTTTCCATACTCTGAAGACTGAGCGAGCACGAAGAGGCGAGTGGCTCAGTCTCCTACAGAAAAGGTATGACTCACATTTCTATGCTGCCTAATGGTTTCTGGAGCACAGGAAATAATGACAGAGGCTTTGACTGAATGGTAAACAGAGTCATTATTGTAAGATTATATTATTTGTCCCCATGTAAAAGCATTCTCTAAATAAAGCTTGCCGTGTGAGAAAAACAACACTCCAGCTCTTGCGAAATACGGTGGAGGCTTGGTTATGATTTGGGGCTGCTTTCCTACATCAGCGCCTGAATCCGTGGAGAGTATAATCAATTAGGGCCATGTGCATATATTGCGCAAGTGGTGTATACAGTCCATAGTTAACTGAACCCTCATGAAATATACATGCCAAAAACCAAATAGAAATGCAAAATATCTAATTATTCGAAGAGAAGAAAAGTATCAGCTGACCCTTCAATAGCAAGGTCCACCCACTCGAGAGGATCAACATCGGAGTGCTGCTCTGAACATAGAATAACGGAGACAGAGGAGTGGATAAAAAAAAAAATCCATTACTGCGGCACATGATAACCTTTACTAAAGATCACATACCTGTTATGCCTCTAATCTACCATCCAGGATATTAGATAATTATTACTTGGAATTTTCTTTGAACCCTCCCATCAATTCCATGCTGAAGTCTGATGGTTACACTGAAGTGACTCATTCATTCATTCATTCATTTTCCGAACCGCTTGATCCTCACTAGGGTCGCGGGGGGTGCTGGAGCCTATCCCAGCCGTCTTCGGGCAGTAGGCGGGGGACACCCTGAATTGGTTGCCAGCCAATCGCAGGGCACACAGAGACGAACAACCATCCACGC